CCCCAAAACCCCAAAACCCCAAAACCCCAAAACCCCTATAACTCTATTTATTTAAGAAATAACAAAGCTAGATAATAATTAATAAATGGACGAACTACAGCAATATAATTACTTGTTTAATTCCCCAGAGGAAGAAGAGAAGGACTACCTCTTTGATGAGCCTGTGAATGAGTTCCGTGATTTCGAAATTAGCGAATATGCTGCCCTTGACACTCCTGGACTCCCACATTCCAGTTTGATATCATTTGAGCAGTATAACAAGGCCTTAGAAGCTGATAAGCACTTTGGAATGGATCTTGAAGAGAATTGTAGTGATTGTGACAAAGACTGTGAGTCTAAATTACTCGCTGATTTACCTACAAATGACAGCAATAGTTATGCCTATGAGGCAGAGCAGGAAGAAATTAACGCTAAAAAGTTCTTATCTAGCATTGGAGTGCTCCAGAAGGCTGATGATAACGATCTGTTCCTGATTGATGAATTCGCACATTTAGAGAGCTTTGAGCACGACGATCTCGAAAATCATGAAATTAGGTGAGATGAAAATTTTCTGCCTCAATTCACTAAAGAAGATAGTGAGGTCAGGTTGAACTTTGAAGGTCTAGATAATGGCACAGAAGAAATTGACCCAAAGCATAAAGAGCTTTTAGAAGAAGGTTTACCGCTCATTCCTCTTGAAAATGATAAGGATAGTTTTACATTTATGAACTCTACTTCGACCGCAAAACAAGGAAATGTGTCCGAAATCTGTCAGGAATCTTCACCCATTAGAGATCAGGAAAATCTTGTTGGTGAACATCAGGCGAGAGAACAGAACCCAGCCAGAGAATTATGTAAGGGAGGTGCCAAGAGAAAAACCACTGAGTTTAACCATCTGTTGGAAAGGAAGACATTTAGAATGTTGCGCAAGTACTATAAAAATTCTTTTGAGAAATTTGCTGCTCCTATTAATTATAAGAAGAAGGTCAAAACTATGACTACAAATCAGATGGATCAACTTGTAAATGACTACATTCAACATGAATTTGATTTTCTTACTCGTTTTTTCACAGGGAACGACCTCGCTCAGTTGATAATTTGCCTGAAAAGAATAATTCTTTCTGACAGGTATAACAAGGCAGAAAAAGTAGTTCTCGAACTAGATTTCGCGAATACTCGAGATTTGTTCAATAAATACTCCAGAAAAGCTAGAAATGAATGGCTAAAATTGCCTACTAATAGTCTACTTCTAGTACATTTCTACCTCAAGCAGGGGAAAAATCAGTGCTACTCTCAGAAGGACGTTAATGCTGAGAAGCTTCATCATCAGATGCGCTTCTTGGTGAGTCTTAGCTTCGAGCACCTTCACCCATGTTTTGTGGAAATCTTCAGTGATGAGAGCTGTAAGATTGATACTCTTTAATTTAACTATTTTCTAGAATTTTCACTGACGTTTCTGTAACTAGGGGTTTTGGGGTTTTGGGGTTTTGGGGTTTTGGGGTTTTGGGG